AAAAAAATCATCTGCATCACTTTACTTTATCATGTCAAATACTAGTCATTGATTTTCAGGATTGAACGTGAGAATGAACTCCGTCCAATGTGATCCGTAGCTTTTATCTTTATCATAGCCCTAATTTTCCATGCTAAAATTTGTTAGGGGCCTATTTGGTGAAGATGGACATTTTTTGTTCCTCCCCTTTGTGATGCCTTGCATGACTCTTCAGAGCATTGAGCATGAGTTGGTTTTCTCATTAACCTTGATTACACAGAGTTGATCATTTGGAGGAACAAAAGTCTACTGAGAACTTGTTTTACACTTCACATAGAAGTTGCAAACATTGTTATGGTGTTGCTTAAAAGCATTCCCCAAACTTCTCTGTTATGGGCTTTTAGATTCCAGTCGGGATGAATTGAATCTATCTCTCCCTCTCTCTCACTCGACTCCATAAGTCAAAAAATGTGCTCTTGTAAGGAGTTCAGGACCTTATTGTTGTATGCCTTACAGTATGAGTTTTTTATCATCCGTTTTGACACTCACATTTGTAAAAAGCTACGAATATATCTATTAATTTATTGTTTTCTTTGTGTTGACAGAGGACCAATTCACAAGACGAGGAGTTGGAGTTGCTTTTTGCAGGGCTTCATATCTGATGCAGGCATGTTGATGTGCAACAAATTTGTTAACTTTTGCTGGTTTCATTTGTAGCTTCAAGTTTGTCCTTTATTTATTTATTATTATTTTTTTGTTTTCTGAAGTTGCGATGTAGCAGAAAACTCGCGACTTTGATGGAAGCTGAAATTTCGGACTGTCGTGTTGAATGGTGCCACATCAGCAACCTAACTGCATCAAGTGATCAAGTCCTGTGAATATTTTGTGCTATGCTCTCTGTGAAAAAGATGGAGTTGCTATGAACTTTTTCGTGCTCCTTGTTTGCGACTTGTGAGCCTGAGTTTGTACTTATTAGAATGGTACATTTGTGAAATAGAAACTGGATTTTGGTACATGTTTGAACTGTTATCCTTACCAAGCAACTTATTAGAAATCCAGCATGGATCAATTTTCGCACAATGCTTGTACATTGTTTTTTCATTATTCTACACACACGTTTCACATTATAAAACAACAAACAACTATACTAACATCACAAACAAAACAACAAACAACTGTAACTAACATCACAACCATTATAAGTGCACAATTTTCAGTGACAATACTATGATCCATATTTCTTGTCTGTGTTTTCTATAGACGTGAGCGAATGAAAATCTTTCTTCGACCAGTTGGCTCAGGCATCAAGCTCTTGAGAGGGTCATCAAAGGATGATTTTGGGTGTTCTTGTTCACTGTTTCTAAGTGCCGAAACCTCACTTTGTTGCTTTATGTTGTTCATAGCTTCTCGCCTTTTTCCCAGCTTGGTTTGCATCTCTTGCACTAGAACAAGATTTTTCTCGTTTTTGCTGTTAGATTTGTCGGACAGAAGTTGAGTTTTAGGCTTTCCTTTCACAATCGCGTACACCTGCATTCCTCCTGCGGACAGAAGAAGCAAGACGAGAAAACATGTTGTAATTTAGAGTTTGGTGTGTAGTTACAAAATGGTGGTAATAATTAAAGATGTAAAAGAAGTAAAGAACTGAATATCTGTCAAAATGGTGGTAATAATTAAAGATGTAAAAGAAGTAAAGAACTGAATATCTGCTCGTTTGAATTTCGACAAAAAGCGCGTCCGAGAACGCTCCACAATCTCCAAGGCGAAAACATTAATTTAATATTTATTAAATTATATATAAATATATATATATATGACATTTTTAATTAAAAAAAAAAAAAACTGAAGTAGGATTTCTTTTTATCAAAAAACTTTTTATTCTTGAGCTTGAATGTTTTAAACGAGGTGATCTCTGAGTTGATCAAACAATAACTTTAACGAGGTGATCTCGAGTTGATCAAACAATAACTTTAACGAATAATTTAACGAACCAAATTGAACGGAAGTTTTGCTTGAATAATAAACGAATGAACAAACCACAAATAGTATTAGAACAAAATCGAACATGAGCTCAAAATGCTACAGCTCGGCTTGTTTTGTTTCGATTACAACACTAGCAACATCGGCATTGAAGAAATAAATCCCAATATTTCACATGTTAGAATTCTCCATGAAAATTGAGGGATTGAACGAGACAAACAAAACAATAATTAAATAGTTTAAAAAATTCAATTTCTACACTGCTCGACATGAAAAGGTGAAATTTTTTACTTGCAAATTTTCCAATTTGCTCAATAATACAGAAGGGATTATATTCGACATAACCATCCGCAATTCATTCTTCGTAGATACTTCTATTTTCGCATACTTCTGATTTTTTTACTGTAAAATTTATCTAAACTAGAAGTAAGCGCAGTAAATCCCTCACGGCGTATTAGCAAAATTAGGGTGAAAATTGAGACCTTTGAGGGATTCACTCACGGCGGAGTCCACCGCCTGTCTGCCCAAGCTCGCTAGTTTTGCGGCGGCCCATTGAAGCTCCTCTATCATTCCCATCGCCGTTGTTTTCCCTGCACAGATATGCTGACTCGGGATTTTGGAGCGTATTGTAAAGCGGGGCATAATTGCTTTTCATAGCAAGTCTGCAAATGATAGCATTATTTTACATAATTATCTCAAATGTATATTAAATTATTAACTTATTAACTAGAGCTTTTTTTATACTAGTCGATAACTCGTTAACTAAACAGGTTAGTTTATTAATATTTAATTATTTATTAGCCGAACTCAATATTTTTTTTTCAAAAATTATATTTTCGAGCTTTAACGAAATCAATAGTTAAATGGAGTTTAATTCTACTCTTTTCGAGTTTGAACAAGAACGAGATGACAAACGACCACGTTTCATTTAACACTGAACCAAATCCTCGGTTATAAAAGTTGGGGCACAACTTAGTGGGGATTACTGTATGTTAAAACTGGTTCAAGTAGATAATTTTTTTACAGTTTTTTACTCAAAGTCAGATTCAAATTTAATTCAACTCATTTCTTTTTAATATTATAAATATAATTAAATAATACTCATCAATTATCATCATTTATCATATCAACTTTAATTACTATTTCATTCACTCGCATGTTTTTGAAGTGAAAACGATGGTGCTTTTAGAGGGAGAAAACATCCTCTTCATAAATTTGCTCATACATTTTTGTCGTTTGGAATCATAACCAAATAAATATCTACAGTTTTAAATTCATAACAATTTGATGCTCTCTTTTATTCAAAATTTAACTTTAGTAGATCACTTAAACTGAATTATATTATGAACAAGGTTTTGAAAATCGAACCGATCATCGAACCGGTGAAACTACTGGTTCAATGGTTCACTGGTCGGACTAGTGGTCGAACCGATTAAGTATATTTAATTAATTTATAATATTTTTATTTATTGTATATGTATACTATATAAGTGCATATATTTTTATCATTACTTTCATAGTGTATAATGACATTTCTCTACATACAAAATAATTGTATATATTTTTTATCATTAGTTTTATATATAATATATAATTGTATATTTTTAATTTTTTTATCATTATTGGGTTAAACGTTAAAGTGTTAAATTTATTATGTAAGGTTTGTAATTATTTGTAAATCCTAAATTTGTAAGTTTTTTTAATCCTAAATTCGTAAGGTTTTTCTGTAAATTCTAAATTTAGTTCATTATATCAGTTTTAACTTTTAATTGTGCTTTTGATGTTGAATTTGAAAAAGTTTGCACTTTGATGTATACAAAAAAAAAAAAATAAATAAAAAATAAAATATTGCCCGCAAAGTGTTTTTAACAAAAATTGCTCAATTCTTTTATTTTTTAATCTTAAAAAGTGGAATAAATCAAACCTCACTACTACAACATTAATTAACGTGATTGGGCTTTTTGGCCCAAGTCCAAGTAAAAAGCTCCAAAAGTATTGAAGAAGTATGAATAGAAAAAGGGGAAAAAGCTGGGAGTATGGGGAATACATTAAAGCAATGGAGAGTTTTTAAGCAGTTAGTTGCTGGAAACCGGTGCCTGTTCGCCGTGTTTCACCGATTTTTGTACGGTTCGAGCAGTTTAAGACCTCCGACCGGACTGTTGGATTGGGAAACCAGTTTAACCGGTCAAACTGGTTGGTCTGATCCGATTTTTAAACCATGATCATAACAATTATACATATTTAATTTATATATGTTGTTTAAAAAAATATTCAATTTACATATGGTGTTCAAATAATAGCCCCTTTCATTAACTTTTATTTCTAAGAATAACTTACCTAAATTCTAAATTTCATGAACATTAATTTTAACTTAATTTTTGGTGCTACTTGATGATGAACCTTAATTTTCACATAATATTTATTGCTATGTGATGAAGTATTGTCACCATTTGATATTTTGATGGTGTGGAAGACATTTACACTGAATTTTGTAATATTTATTGCTATTTGATGAAGTATTGTCACATCTTATTGGGGCAATATTAATTTTAGTCACTATATTTTGATGGTGTGGAAGACATTTACACCAAATTTTAGACTGAAACTCACTATCGCAAGAGAATTGGTATATGTTTAACACCTCTAATGGGTACTGAATCAAATTATCGAATAAGTTTGCTTAATTGTAATATTAGATTGAAATTATATGAAAAATAAAAATTCGGTGTATGTCATAAGCTCGAGACCGAGAAGATTGCATGTATGTCATGAGTTTTTACTTTTACAAAAACCCTAATACATACTGCGCTTTCGTTGATACCCTACTAACTTGAGCGTCGGAGGTTTACCGCCGGGAACATCTCCCGGCGTCCTTGCAGGTTCCGAGGGCTCAGGAGGTTGGAGATCAAGAAGGCCGGTCCAGTGTGCAATAGCACATCAGGTACTGAATCAAATCATCGAATAAGTTTGATTAATTGTAATATTAGATTGAAAATTATATGAAAAATAAAAATTATAATAATACTTCGATTTTGAAATTGTTAATGAGAAAAGATATTTTTGTTATGAATATAACTCGTTAGGCTTTAATCTTAAATTTGTTGCTAACATATATCTCTACTATACATATAACCCAACAACATTGAACAATTGTGGGCTTGACACGTGTCTTTTTATGTCAAAAATGTCCTTCCTTTTATCATGTATTTACAGTTTTGCCAGAGAGACCGAAATGATTTTTCCCACAAAATCTGAGGGTGTGTTTTACACTTTCGGCTTGCTTCACCTTTCTGTTCCCATCACAATTCACACCCAACAATCACAACTCCCTTACCTGCTCTGGGGCGTCGCTTCCCTCAATTCACGCTCGCAAATCGCTTCTTCTACACGCAAACGCTTCACCCACTCCACTTCTCTCTTCTGCAAGCGAAAACAAAATTTCGACAGTCTTCTTCCTCTACAACGCCTCCTCTGCCGACTGCCACACCCCCGTCGCCACCGCCAAGCCCCTCTCTGACTTCCCGATTGCTGCCGCCTCCCTTTCTACCGTGAAGCAAAATCACGTAGTTCCGGTCAAACTCACACAAAAACCTAGATCTTATCCAGAAGTTGAAGTTTATGTCGACAATCTTCACTCTCAGCGATGGTTTGTTTTTTATATTTATTTTTGTATTATTTTGTCATT